TTCAGACTGATGCTGAGGGCCACACACAACACTCAGACTGATGCTGAGGGCCACACAACACTCAGACTGATGCTGAGGGCCACACACAACACTCAGACTGATGCTGAGGGCCACACAACACTCAGACTGATGCTGAGGGCCACACAACACTCAGACTGATGCTGAGGGCCACACACAACACTCAGACTGATGCTGAGGGCCACACAACACTCAGACTGATGCTGAGGGCCACACAACACTCAGACTGATGCTGAGGGCCACACACAACACTCAGACTGATGCTGAGGGCCACACAACACTCAGACTGATGCTGAGGGCCACACAACACTCAGACTGATGCTGAGGGCCACACACAACACTCAGACTGATGCTGAGGGCCACACAACACTCAGACTGATGCTAAGGGCCACACAACACTCAGACTGATGCTGAGGGCCACACACAACACCCAGACTGATGCTGAGGGCCACACAACACTCAGACTGATGCTGAGGGCCACACACAACACTCAGACTGATGCTGAGGGCCACACACAACACTCAGACTGATGCTGAGGGCCACACACAACACCCAGACTGATGCTGAGGGCCACACACAACACCAAGACTGATGCTGAGGGCCACACAACACTCAGACTGACGCTGAGGGCCACACACAACACTCAGACTGATGCTGAGGGCCACACAACACTCAGACTGATGCTGAGGGCCACACAACACTCAGACTGATGCTGACGGCCACACACAACACTCAGACTGATGCTGAGGGCCACACACAATACTCAGGACGCTGAGGGCCACACACAACACTCAGACTGATGCTGAGGGCCACACAACACTCAGACTGATGCTGAGGGCCACACACAACACTCAGACTGATGCTGAGGGGCCACACACAACACTCAGACTGATGCTGAGGCCACACACAACACTCAGACTGATGCTGAGGGCCACACAACACTCACTGACTGCCACACAACACTCAGACTGATGCTGAGGGCCACACACAACACTCAGACTGATGCTGAGGGCCACACAACACTCAGACACACACAACACTCAGACTGATGCTGAGGGCCACACACAACACCCAGACTGATGCTGAGGGCCACACAACACTCAGACTGATGCTGAGGGCCACACACAACACTCAGACTGATGCTGAGGGCCACACACAACACCCAGACTGATGCTGAGGGCCACACAACACTCAGACTGATGCTGAGGGCCACACACAACACTCAGACTGATGCTGAGGGCCACACACACACACACTCAGACTGATGCTGAGGGCCACACAACACTCAGACTGATGCTGAGGGCCACACACACACACTCAGACTGATGCTGAGGGCCACACAACACTCAGACTGATGCTGAGGGCCACACAACACTCAGACTGATGCTGACGGTCACACACAACACTCAGACTGATGCTGAGGGCCACACACAATACTCAGACTGACGCTGAGGGCCACACACAACACTCAGACTGATGCTGAGGGCCACACAACACTCAGACTGATGCTGAGGGCCACACACAACACTCAGACTGATGCTGAGGGCCACACACAACACTCAGACTGATGCTGAGGGCCACACAACACTCAGACTGATTCTGAGGGCCACACACAACACTCAGACTGATGCTGAGGGCCACACACAACACTCAGACTGATGCTGAGGGCCACACACAACACTCAGACTGATGCTGAGGGCCACACACAACACTCAGACTGATGCTGAGGGCCACACACAACACTCAGACTGATGCTGAGGGCCCACACAACACTCAGACTGATGCTGACGGTCACACACAACACTCAGACTGATGCTGAGGGCCAAACACAATACTCAGACTGACGCTGAGGGCCACACACAACACTCAGACTGATGCTGAGGGCCACACACAACACTCAGACTGATGCTGAGGGCCACACACAACACTCAGACTGATGCTGAGGGCCACACACAACACTCAGACTGATGCTGACGGTCACACACAACACTCAGACTGATGCTGAGGGCCACACACAATACTCAGACTGACGCTGAGGGCCACACACAACACTCAGACTGATGCTGAGGGCCACACAACACTCAGACTGATGCTGAGGGCCACACACAACACTCAGACTGATTCTGAGGGCCACACACAACACTCAGACTGATGCTGAGGGCCACACACAACACTCAGACTGATGCTGAGGGCCACACAACACTCAGACTGATTCTGAGGGCCACACACAACACTCAGACTGATGCTGAGGGCCACACACAAAACTCAGACTGATGCTGAGGGCCACACACAACACTCGGACTGATGCTGAGGGCCACACACAACACTCAGACTGATGCTGAGGGCCACACACAACACTCAGACTGATGCTGAGGGCCACACACAACACTCAGACTGATGCTGAGGGCCACACACAACACTCAGACTGATGCTGAGGGCCACACAACACTCAGACTGATGCTGAGGGCCACACACAACACTCAGACTGGCGCTCAGGTCCGCCACACACTCAGACTGATGCTGAGGGCCACACAACACTCAGACTGATGCTGAGGGACACACAACACTCAGACTGATGCTGAGAGCCACACAACACTCAGACTGATGCTGAGGGCCACACACAACACTCAGACTGATGCTGAGGGCCACACACAATATCTAGACTGACGCTGAGGGCCACACACAACACTCAGACTGATGCTGAGGGCCACACAACACTCAGACTGATGCTGAGGGCCACACACAACACTCAGACTGATTCTGAGGGCCACACACAACACTCAGACTGATGCTGAGGGCCACACACAACACTCAGTCTGATGCTGAAGGCCACACAACACCCAGACTGATGCTGAGGGCCACACACAACACCCAGACTGATGCTGAAGGCCACACACAACACTCAGACTGATGCTGAGGGCCACACAACACTCAGACTGATTCTGAGGGCCACACACAACACTCAGACTGATGCTGAGGGCCACACAACACTCAGACTGATGCTGAGGGCCACACAACACTCAGACTGATTCTGAGGGCCACACACAACACCCAGACTGATGCTGAGGGCCACACAACACCCAGACTGATGCTGAGGGCCACACACAACACTCAGACTGATGCTGAGGGCCACACACAACACCCAGACTGATGCTGAGGGCCACACACAACACCCAGACTGATGCTGAGGGCCACACAACACTCAGACTGATGCTGAGGGCCACACACAACACTCAGACTGATGCTGAGGGCCACACACAACACTCAGACTGATGCTGAGGGCCACACACAACACCCAGACTGATGCTGAGGGCCACACACAACACTCAAACTGATGCTGAGGGCCACAACCAACACTCAGACTGATGCTGAAGGCCACACAACACTCAGACTGATGCTGAGGGCCACACACAACACCCAGACTGTTGTTGAGGGCCACACACAACACCCAGACTGATGCTGAGGGCCACACAACACTCAGACTGATGCTGAGGGCCACACAACACTCAGACTGATGCTGAGGGCCACACAATACTCAGACTGATGCTGAGGGCCACACACAACACTCAGACTGATGGTGAGGGCCACACAACACTCAGACTGATGCTGAGGGCCACACACAACACTCAGACTGATGCTGATGGCCACACAACACTCAGACTGATGCTGAGGGCCACACAACACTCAGACTGATGCTGAGGGCCACACACAACACTCAGACTGATGCTGAGGGCCACACACAACACTCAGACTGATGCTGAGGGCCACACACAACACTCAGACTGATGCTGAGGGCCACACAACACTCAGACTGATGCTGAGGGCCACACACAACACCCAGACTGTTGCTGAGGGTCACACACAACACTCAGACTGATGCTGAGGGCCACACACAACACTCAGACTGATGCTGAGGGCCACACACAACACTCAGACTGATGCTGAGGGCCACACAACACTCAGACTGATGCTGAGGGCCACACACAACACCCAGACTGTTGCTGAGGGCCACACACAACACCCAGACTGATGCTGAGGGCCACACAACACTCAGACTGATGATGAGGGCCACACAACACTCAGACTGATGCTGAGGGCCACACAACACTCAGACTGATGCTGAGGGCCACACAACACTCAGACTGATGGTGAGGGCCACACAACACTCAGACTGATGGTGAGGGCCACACAACACTCAGACTGATGCTGAGGGCCACACACAAAACTCAGACTGATGCTGAGGGCCACACACAACACTCAAACTGATGCTGAGGGCCACACACAACACCCAGACTGATGCTGAGGGCCACACACAACACTCAGACTGAAGCCGAGGGCCACACAACACTCAGACTGATGCTGAGGGCCACACACAACACTCAGATTGATGCTGAAGGCCACACACAACACCCAGACTGTTGCTGAGGGCCACACACAACACTCAGACTGATGCTGAGGGCCACACAACACTCAGACTGATGCTGAGGGCCACACAACACTCAGCCTGATGGTGAGGGCCACACAACACTCAGACTGATGGTGAGGGCCACACAACACTCAGACTGATGCTGAGGGCCACACAACACTCAGACTGATGCTGAGGGCCACACAATACTCAGACTGATGCTGAGGGCCACACACAACACTCAGACTGATGGTGAGGGCCACACAACACTCAGACTGATGCTGAGGGCCACACACAACACTCAGACTGATGCTGATGGCCACACAACACTCAGACTGATGCTGAGGGCCACACAACACTCAGACTGATGCTGAGGGCCACACACAACACTCAGACTGATGCTGAGGGCCACACACAACACTCAGACTGATGCTGAGGGCCACACAACACTCAGACTGATGCTGAGGGCCACACACAACACTCAGATTGATGCTGAGGGCCACACACAACACCCAGACTGTTGCTGAGGGCCACACACAACACTCAGACTGGCGCTCAGGTCCGCCACACACTCAGAATGGTTGCCTGGTGGCCACAACAACATGGCCACGTTGAGAAAATTGGTATTTCGTGCCAGGAAGAGTGGCCAGCGTGGCCCAGCCCGCCCCTAAGTACCGCTTCACACGGCTCATTGGAACTCCTCTCTTTATTCATTCATGCGACCCTGGCCTTCCCTAGACCTGTCCCCCCTTGGACACTACCTCTGGACACATCCCCACTGGACACATCCCCACTGGACACAACCCTTGGACACATCCCCACTGGACACATCCCCGCTGGACACATCCCCACTGGACACATCCCCACTGGACACATCCCCACTGGACACATCCCCACTGGACACATCCCCACTGGACACATCCCCACTGGACACATCCCCACTGGACACATCCCCACTGGACACATCCCCGCTGGACACATCCCCACTGGACACATCCCCACTGGACACATCCCCACTGGACACATCCCCACTGGACACATCCCCACTGGACACATCCCCACTGCACACAACCCCACTGGACACATCCCCACTGGACACATCCCCACTGGACACATCCCCACTGGACACATCCCCACTGCACACAACCCCACTGGACACATCCCCACTGGACACATCCCCACTGGACACAACCCTTGGACACAACCCTTGGACACATCCCCACTGGACACATCCCCACTGGACACATCCCCACTGGACACAACCCTTGGACACATCCCCACTGGACACAACCCTTGGACACATCCCCACTGGACACATCCCCACTGGACTCAACCCTTGGACACATCCCCACTGGACACATCCCCACTGGACACAACCCTTGGACACAACCCTTGGACACATCCCCACTGGACACAACCCTTGGACACATCCCCACTGGACACATCCCCACTGGACACAACCCTTATACACATCCCCACTGGACACATCCCCACTGGACACAACCCTTGGACACAACCCGTGGACACATCCCCACTGGACACAACCCTTGGACACATCCCCACTGGACACATCCCCACTGGACACAACCCTTGGACACAACCTCTGGACACATCCCCACTGGACAGAACACCGGACCTATCCACCCCATTCAGAAGTCACCTAGCCTTATATACCAAATTCAGCAGCATATATTGTGAAAAACATCCTTCCACGGAATTTCAGATAAACTAATATGTCTAAAAACATGTGTTTAAGCTCTGTTATGGGCAGGAAAAGCACTTGGGGTGGACGGTAGAGCGACGGACTCGCTTCATGCAGGTCGGCGTTCAATTCCCGATCGTCTAAGTGGTTGGGCACCATTCCTTTCCCCCGTCCCATCCCAAATGCTGACCCCTTCCCAGTGCTATATAGTCGTGGTGGCTTGGTGCTTTCCCCTGATAGTTTAGACACAGTAAAGTCACAGTAAGACACAATAAAGACACAGTAACACACAGTAACACACAGTAAAGACACAATAAAGGCACAGTAAAGGCACAGTAACACATAGTAACACTCAGTAACACACAGTAACACACAGTAACACACAGCAACACACAGTAACACACAGCAACACACAGTAACACACAGTAACACACAGTAAAGACACAGTAAAGGCACAGTAAAGGCACAGTAACACATAGTAACACTCAGTAACACACAGTAACACACAGTAAAGACACAGTAAAGGCACAGTAACACACAGTAACACTCAGTAACACACAGTAACACACAGTAAAGACACAGTAACACACAGTAACACACAGTAACACACAGTAACACACCGTAACACACAGTAGCACACAGCACTACACAGTAACACAGAGCAACACACAGTAACACACAGTAACACACAGTAACACACAGTATCACACAGCAACACACAGTAGCACACAGTAACACACAGTAACACACAGTAACACACAGTAACACACAGTAACACACAGTAGCACACAGTAACACACAGTAAAGACACAGTAACACACAGTAAGACACAGTAACACACAGTAACACACAGTAACACACAGTAACACTCAGTAACACAGTAGCACACAGTAACACACAGCAACACACAGTAACACACAGCAACACACAGTAACACACAGTAACACACAGTAACACACAATAACACACAGTATCACACAGCAACACACAGTAGCACACAGTAACACACAGTAACACACAGTAGCACACAGTAACACACAGTAACACACAGTAACACACAGTAAAACACAGTAACACACAGTAAAGACACAGTAGCACACAGTAACACACAGTAAAGACAAAGTAACACACAGCAACACACAGTAACACACAGTAACACACAGTAACACACAGTAACACACAGCAACACACAGTAACACACAGTAACACACAGTAACACACAGTAACACACAGTAACACACAGCAACACACAGTAATACACAGTAACACACAGTAACACACAGTAACACACAGTAACACACACTAACACACAGTAACACAGAGTAACACACAGTAAACACACAGTAACACACAGTAACACACAATAACACACAGTATCACACAGCAACACACAGTAGCACACAGTAACACACAGTAACACACAGTAGCACACAGTAACACACAGTAACACACAGTAGCACACAGTAACACACAGTATCACACAGTAACACAGTAACACACAGTAACACACAGTAACACAGTAACACACAATAACACACAGTAACACACAGCAACACAGTAACACACAGTAACACACAGTAACACACAGTAACACACAGCAACACACAGTAACACACAGTAACACACAGTAACACAGTAACACACAGTAACACACAGCAACACAGTAACACACAGTAACACACAGTAACACACAGTAACACACAGTAACACACAGTAACACACAGCAACACACAGTATCACACAGCAACACACAGTAACACACAGTAACACACAGTAACACACAGTAACACACAGTAACACAGTAACACACAATAACACACAGTAACACACAGTAACACAGTAACACACAGTAACACACAGTAACACACAGCAACATACAGTAACACACAGTAACACACAGTAACACACAGTAACACACAGAACACACAGTAACACACAGTAACACAGTAACACACAATAACACACAGCAACACACAGTAACACACAGTAACACACAGTAACACACAGTAACACACAGCAACACACAGTAGCACACAGTAACACACAGTAACACACAGTAACACACAGCAACACACAGTAACACACAGTAACACACAGCAACACACAGTAGCACACAGTAACACACAGTAACACACAGTAACACACAGTAACACACAGTAACACACAGTAACACAGTAACACACAATAACACACAGCAACACACAGTAACACACAGTAACACACAGTAACACACAGCAACACACAGTAACACACAGTAACACACAGTAACACACAGTAACACACATCAACACACAGTAACACACAGTAACACACAGCAACACACAGTAGCACACAGTAACACACAGTAACACACAGTAACACACAGTAACACACAGTTACACAGTAACACACAATAACACACAGCAACACACAGTAACACACAGTAACACACAGTAACACACAGTAACACACAGTAACACACAGCAACACACAGTAACACACAGTAACACACAGCAACACACAGTAGCACACAGTAACACACAGTAACACACAGTAACACACAGTAACACACAGTAACACACAGTAACACACAGCAACACACAGTAACACACAGTAACACACAGCAACACACAGTAGCACACAGTAACACACAGTAACACACAGTAACACACAGTAACACACAGTAACACACAGTTACACAGTAACACACAATAACACACAGCAACACACAGTAACACACAGTAACACACAGTAACACACAGTAACACACAGTAACACACAGCAACACACAGTAACACACAGTAACACACAGCAACACACAGTAGCACACAGTAACACACAGTAACACACAGTAACACACAGTAACACACAGTAACACACAGCAACACACAGTAACACACAGTAACACACAGCAACACACAGTAGCACACAGTAACACACAGTAACATACAGTAACACACAGTAACACACAGTAACACACAGCAACACACAGTAACACACAGTAACACACAGCAACACACAGTAACACACAGTAACACACAGTAACACACAGTAACACACAGTAACACACAGTAACACACGGTAACACACAGTAACACACAGCAACACACAGCACCACACAGCACCACACAGTAACACACAGTAACACACAGTAACACACAATAACACACAGTAACACACAGTAACACACAATAACACACAGTAACACACAGTAACACACAGTAACACACAATAACACACAGTAACACACAATAACACACAGTAACACACAGTAACACACAGTAACACACGGTAACACACAGTAACACACAGTAACACACAGTAACACACAATAACACACAGTAACACACAGTAACACACAGTAACACACAGTAACACACAGTAACACACAGTAACACACAGTAACACACAGTAACACACAGTAACACAGCTCCCACAGGTAAAGGTTTAAAAGTTTAAGAACGGAAATTAACATTCGCTTGAGTCGTCAAAGACTTTTTAAGGAGAAGAAGAAGAGTTGTGCAACAAAGACCAGCTGGCAATGTGCAGTCTTGCAACGAGGCTCCAAATGTGCAGTCTTGCAGTGGCGTTTATGTCAGGGTTGTAATTTCAGGTGTGGCAGAGTCAGCTGTGTGACAGGGTGAGGTATGAGAGAGTCAGGTAGAACCACGACCAGGTGTGGAAGAGCCAGGTGTGGAAGAGCCAGGTGTGGAAGAGCCAGGTGTGGGAGAGCCAGGTGTGGAAGAGCCAGGTGTGGAAGAGCCAGGTGTGGGAGAGCCAGGTGTGTAACAGTTATGTAACATCAAGGCACATAAGTGATCCTGATTGGCTCGAACAATTTACAAACTTTTCTCAGCCACATTTCAATATTTAACCAACAAACTCCTTGACTTGTATATACAAGTGATTCATGCAACCAACATATAAGAATTAGCTTGCGTAAGTATAAACTACTCTCTCGCTAGTTACCTGGGGCAGATTCACGAAGCAGTTACGCAAGTACTTACGAACCTGGGGCTAGATTCACGAAGCAGTTACGCAAGCACTTACGAACCTGGAGAGCCAGATTCACGAAGCAGTTACGCAAGCACTTACGAACCTTGGGCCAGATTCACGAAGCAGTTACGCAAGCACTTACGAACTTGGGGCCTGATTCACGAAGCAGTTACGCAAGCACTTACGAACCTGGAGGGCCAGATTCACGAAGCAGATACGCAAGCACTTACGAATCTGGGGCCAGATTCACGAAGCAGTTACGCAAGCACTTACGAACCTGGAAGGCCAGATTCACGAAGCAGTTACGCAAGCACTGACGAACCTGGTGCTAGATTCACGAAGCAGTTAAGCAAGCACTGACGAACCTGGGGCTAGATTCACGAAGCAGTTACGCAAGCACTTACGAACCTGGGGCTAGATTCACGAAGCAGTTACGCAAGCACTTACGAACCTGGAGGGCCAGATTCACGAAGCAGTTACGCAAGCACTGACGAACCTGGGGCTAGATTCACGAAGCAGTTACGCAAGCACTTACGAACCTGGGGCTAGATTCACGAAGCAGTTACGCAAGCACTTACGAACCTGGAGCTAGATTCACGAAGCAGTTACGCAAGCACTTACGACGAAGCAGTTACGCAAGCACTTACGAATCTGGGGCCAGATTCACGAAGCAGTTACGCAAGCACTTACGAACCTGGAGGGCCAGATTCACGAAGCGGTTACGCAAGCACTGACGAACCTGGGGCTAGATTCACGAAGCAGTTACGCAAGCACTGACGAACCTGGGGCTAGATTCACGAAGCAGTTACGCAAGCACTTACGAACCTGGGGCTAGATTCACGAAGCAGTTACGCAAGCACTTACGAACCTGGGGCTAGATTCACGAAGCAGTTACGCAAGCACTTACGACGAAGCAGTTACGCAAGCACTTACGAATCTGGGGCTAGATTCACGAAGCAGTTACGCAAGCACTTACGACGAAGCAGTTACGCAAGCACTTACGAATCTGGGGCCAGATTCACGAAGCAGTTACGCAAGCACTTACGAAGCTGGGC